GAGATTGTAATATCACTTGTTATTTTTTAATAAGAAGTACAATTAAAATATAAATTTACAAACACTATTATTACAGGAACTATTTATTCTTTTTGACACAATGAATCATTGATTTAATACGATTGAAATTTTTTTTTTTCTACGATGAATAGAACTTTTTTTAAAATGTTTTTTTTTTAAGCGACATGGACGTGAGAATCATGCAATGATTGATTGAATTAGATAAAAAAAAAGTGTTTTTTTTTTTAATTATACAAAAATGTTCTTATTATTGATTCATGTAAATGAGAAAATAACATGTAGATTTAAGAGTCTTAGTGTTAATTTTTTAGTAGATGTTTATTTATTTATGAAAATTTTCGGTTTTTATGCGATCATTTTCAACATGGAAAAACATTTGATGGTACAACTACAAAAAACAAAAGTGACAAGTACAACTATAAATGATACATATAACATCATAATGTTCAATATCGTTATCACCCACATCCGCATAAAAATTGAGTAATGATTATTTAAATTAATATTGAAAATGAATCGTTATTGCTATTACAACGATGTATTTTGTCTTAGATTCTCGAGATCACAGATCATAGTGACAGAATATATAAAAAAAATCATATGTTTAAACAAAAAGGAAAAAATGCACTGAAAAAAACTTACAAAGTAAGTAAGATTAAAATCAGTACATGCGAAGCAAGATGAGATTAAAAGAATTCTAGAATCGAAAAAAAAAGAATAATACTAAGAAATTCATTCAAACAATTTCGACATAAAGGACAATCATCCACTTTGAAGTAAAACAATGCATGTGTGTGTCACCACTAACAGATGGAATTCTGATATTAATTGATTTTAAATTTATTTTTGATTTAATAAATTTTTATAAATGTAAATTCACCACTCTTAGATTTGTGCTTATCAATTTTTAGTCGACAATATAATGATCAGAAAAACTGTAATGGTTTTAGAGCATCAAGCAATGTAATTTAAGCTAATCAATATTCATTCTCAATATGACAAGATGTTGTCATGGAGCATATAAAACGGATACTACGAACTCATTCTATGATTTGAAAATTGATTTTTGAATTCATGAAAAAGCATTATGTATTTTGAAGAACGACAAAGAATACGTTCCTTTTTGTTCTAAGAGTGATGTTAGATCGTCTGAAAAATGTTCATTAGTTATAGAAATCCATTCCTTACATTTCGAACAAAGAACGCATGGAAATCATTTCAACAGTCAATGGAACGGTTCCGATTGTTTTTCATTCAAATGAAAAACGATTTTGAATCGAAGTAAAAGCTTTCTATAATAGCATGGAACAGCAAAGAATGCATTTCTTCAGATGCAGAACGTATTTCTGTTAGTAGGGACGCATTCATCAGACTATAGAAAACGTTCTTCATGAGTAAGATAGCTTTTCATGTTTCGATGAATACCTTTACTTCCTTTTTTTTTCAATATTTTTCATTGGGACATCATAGGAATTGTCAGATGGATTATCAGTTTTATTCGATACTATACTAATACATTCTAATATATTTTAATTAAAAAATAATGAACTTTTTTCTTGATTTTCCATATGTAGATTGTACTGAAGAATATTTAAAAAAACAGTTTTGTATATATGCGAAAATAAAATCTTGTCAGCTTCAAGAATGAAAATGCACAAATAAATATATCTGTTCTTTTTTTTTCTCCATTCTTGATAAATAAATAAAAGATTGATTGAAAATGACTATCATTTTTGATAAACAATTTCAATTAGAGTATAGAATCTATGAAGATAAACTCCTTGATTTTAAAAGATTTGCTTTATAGATCGATAATAATGTTTTTTCTCGTCATTCTTTTGTCTCAATTTTTGATTTGAATCAAATTGAAAGATGTATTCAATTAAGTGTCTCAACTTTCTCTTATGATTATTCAAGAACTTCACATTGAATTACCATATGTAATTCGTCATATATTTGATTCGTCATTATGTGATATAGATAATGATTGTGAGGGTGTGGGTGTGGGTGGGTGTGGGTGTGGGGTGTGGGTGGGGTGTGGGTGTGGGTGTGGATGTGGATAGAAAACAGAATAGAATACGCACACCTACGCCTACACCCACACCCATACCTCACACTCACACCCACATCTACACCCACACCCACACACCTATACCCCACACCCTCTAAGGAGGAAACTTTTGTCGCCTACTGTACATAGTGATCAACCATGTTGGTGTGATCCATCGTGAATGTTTTCGAAAAGTTCAACTTATAAACTGAATTTTCATGGTTGTGGAGTTTTAGAACTAGTCATTGGTTCGTATGTATGAATGATTTATAGGTTTCAGAATTATTACTACTCATTTGCAAAAAAAAGGTCCCACAGATTTTTCTTTTCTTTTATGTTTTATTGTCCAGCGCAATAAGTTAGAGAGATCGATTCAATAAAAAGACTCGGTTTTATTAATACAATGCAATGTTTTTATGATTATAAACTTTTTTTAAAATAAAAATAAAAATTCATATATTTTCGATATGCATTTCACCAAAATAAATCGAAAAAGCCGCCAAAATATCCTAAGATCAGGACCGAAACTATCAGTTTCACTGCATGTCTTTTCATAAATTCTTTGTGATAAATAAACAGATTTAAGATTTCTATTGCAAGTCGTAATAGGTAATCAAATCTTAACCAAGAGTTTGATATTACTTTCTACTACGACTGATTTTGATTAAATCGTTTTATTTTAATATTATCATCATCATTATGTTTTAACTTCGATGAAACAATGATCTGAAAATGTTCTCAAAAAAAAATAATAAATATTCATCTGAATATGGTTTCTCGACAAAAGCAAATATAAAAATGAAAATGAAATAAAAAACATGCTTATACTCCTCATTGCAGTCATAAAAAGATTTATTCAAATATTGATATTCTGAAGAGAGACAAGACTTTTGAATAGTAGACTTTCTGTAGTGAAAGACAGAAGAACGTTAAAAAAAAAGGTAGTTATTTTATAAGTATTAAAACGTCGTGTGTGATGGATGAAAACTAATGAAACGGCAATTACCAATAGACATAAAGATTAAATATCAGAAATATTCGATGGTTGGTTGGACGATATCTATAATTTCTTTGTTGATAGTTAATATCCGTCATGTAAAAAGTGTGTCCATACGAAATTGCGTACTTCATAGAGTTGTCTGATATTTTTAGTTGTATTTCTAAAGAGAAAGAAAAAGGTTTTATATCTAATGCTTAAGTGCATATTTATCTTTGATAAGCAATACATTGTTTTTTTTTTCTATATAAAGGAAAGGAGTAAAATGCATTTGCTGTTGCTATTCTCTATTAAATTCTACATTACTGAAGTAGGGCGTCGAAAATGGTAACACAAGGTAAACATTTAAGGTTGAATGAGAAACAACTTTTAGAAAGAAAATATAGTCATTAAAAACTTGTTAACTTCGTTACTACTTACTTTTTCCATCGAATTCAGTAATACTGACTTAGTAAACCAAGAACACGTAAGAGAAAATGATTCTCTTGGCAACTGAATTATCATTCTACCATAGGTTTTTTTTCCCGTTTTGAAGATCATTGAAGAGAAAATAATATAATTTTTCAACATATTGATAATAAAGTCATTTTGAGAGTATGAATGAGTGTCGACATTCTCTTATTCCGCATTGAGATCCATGCCCACAGTTTGATTGTTGTATATAAACCAGATATTATCTTAACATATTGTTTTTCAGTATTTAAAAAACACGATACAATGATTTTATAATGACAGAAATCCATTAAAATAAGAGATCGATTGCTTGAATATTTGAGTATCTAGAACTACGACAATATCTTCATATTCACTATAGTGTCAATATTTCTCTAGCAAGCAATATATTTCTGAGAATAATGGACAAGTGTAGAGAGCATTTTTTCAAGTTTGAAGTCGATTTGTCTAACAATTATTGAACTGTGTCTTACACGACCACAACAATTCAATGAGCTTCAATCGCACTGTCACCATGTATAACCAGAGTACAGGGACTACAAAATGAGGGAACTCTCGACCCATAAAATCTTTTTCTTTCTGAGTCATGAAGTCCACAATGGTGACAGACCATATAAATTATTACTCTATTGCACTTCATGCTATTGCGGCGTAGATTTTGCTGGTGATCTACATTCATCGAGAACTATGTACATAACTACTTTTAGAATTACAATTATTGTACTGAGTGAGATCGGAAGGGGAGAAACTTTGGCCAGTATAATCCTATGTGTTCAACTTGAATTCAATTATTGAATATTTGAAACTTGAAAAAATGGACTTGCAAGTTATTCAAATTTTCAAGAATTCAGTTACACAATTCATATAAGATGCCTAATGCGAGTTTGAATATACATGAAATTCTTACAGCTCGATATCACTCTGAACATTCATTACTTTGCAGAAGTGTTTTTGCCTGTGTAACCAACCTTTTATGTCAGTCTAGCGTCTTTAGAGGAGCCACAACCAATCCTCATTTCTGTGTGCACAGTGGACTAAGTGTCGGTAATTTCTTCAACCGCACCTACATTCAAACCTAGATTAAATCTTTGACCATTATATTCGTTCTAACACGAGTGCCTTTATCGCAATTATAATTGTCGAAATGTATAGGCTTTGGCTTTGACTATGTAGATGCCGGTGAACTTTCGAATTTTCGTTTTTGAAGTCGAATTAGACAGCTACTCACTGTTTCAGTGTTCAATTTTTCTAACAGTGCGGAGACAGGGGAATACTAAATCCGTCTCAAAGAAATATACACAAATATACTAAAAGTTAAGCAATTTGACAGTTTAATACCTGAATATGAGTTTTGAATACTTGAATAGAAAAGTTAAACAGTTAAATTCAAGAATTCAATTATAAAGCTAGACCCTATTGAATAATTCTATTAAAATAGGTATTACAAGTGTAGATTTACAACGTCATGATTCATCTATCATGTATATACAATTACTGAAAGAAGTACTTCTTCAAATGGAAGTTGATGATAAAGCAAAGAAAGAATTATTTCAATTTTGTCGTAAAACGAATATAGGCATATTAGGAAGAATGAATATCATCGGTGAATTTGAAAGATATTATCATATGCATACACCCATGTGGTGGTACACTAGAGAATCTTTTATTCATGACATGATTAATCGAGTATTACGATTACAAGATATTGATGCTATTATTCAAACGAGATTCTTTATACAAGATCTTCATCAACAAATCGAACGATTGTACGAACCACCATCTAAAAAATTGACACTTTATCGAGGTCAAGGACTATCGTACGGAGATTTTCAGCAGCTGCGTCAGTTGAAAGGTGGTCTTTATTCGTTTCATTATTTTCTATCGACAACTATGGATCGGGATACAGCTCTTACGTTTGCTCAAAGCGCTCGACAGGATTCTCGCTTGATTGGTATTATCTATCATATAAATATTGATCCTGTCTCTCTCAAGTCCGCTTTATTCGCTTCATTGGATAATGAGAGTTATTACAAAGTGGAAAACGAGTTTTTATTTACTATGTATACGATATTTCGAGTCGGAGAAATAATACAACTTGAACCAGAATTGTGGCAAGTGGAACTTTCACTAACAAGTGATAACGATAAGGATTTAAAGAAACTTACTGAAGATATTCGACAAGCAACACAAGGATCAACAGGATGGAGTCGACTTGGTAAAATGTTGCTGACAATGGGGAAGTTCGATAAAGCTGAGAAAGTTCTCCAAATACTTATCAACAAATCATCTGAAGATGATTTAGAAGAACTTGGTCATCTTTATCATCTAATGGGTTTAGTTAAAGAAAATAAAAAGGAATACGACCAAGCAATGGTGTTCTATGAAAAGGTACTCAACATCTATCGATCATTACCCGACTCGAATTATTTACATTTGACTAAACTTTACAATGACATTGGTTCAGTATATCTATTTAAAAAAGAATATTCCAAAGCACTAGAATATTATGAAATGGCACTGGCCATACAAGAAAAATCTAATCCTTTAAATTATTCGGATTTAGTAATTACATATGGCAATTTGGCAGAAATTTATAAACACTTACGTGATTATTCTCAATCTTTACGATTCTATCAAAAGGAGTTAGATATTTATAAAAAATCTACTCCTGTCAATTATTTAAAATTGGCTACCAGCTACGAAAATATTGCTGAGATTCATTACCATATGAAAGAATATTCCGAAGCATTACAATTATTTCGAAAGGTGTTGAAAATTCGAGAAGATCATTTGCGTCGAAATAATACAAAAATAGTTATTAGTCATAAAAATCTTGGCAAAGTACTTGACAAATTGGGATATTATCTAGAAGCAATCGAACATTATCAATATGCACGTTATATCTTGGCAAAATCTGCTCCGGTGAATTTTTCAGAATTGACCATGATTTGTTATAAAATGGCTGAGATCTATAAGAAAATAGGGAACAAGCTAAAAACACTCGAGATATATCAAGAGACGTTAATAAACTTGGATAGATCATCACATCGAAAAAAAGCAATTTCAGCGACTATACACGACAATATTGGTCAAGTTTATGAAAGTATAGGTGAATACGGAAAAGCAATCATGTCTTATAGACAAGCTATTCAGATTGAACAACTATTATCGGCTCAAAATGATTTTCAACTTCAATTATATAAAAAACATCTTGCTCAAGCTCGAAGAAAAATTAAATAAACATTGAATATAAAAGATGAAATCGTGTTAGAAAACATTTCATTATGTGGGTGTGGGTGTGTCAGCATGGGTGTCGGTGTGGGTCAAGAACGATCTAGAACTTAAGAGGGGGGGGATGTACCCCCCTATGGTATACATATTTTTTTACCAGATTGTAGAGGAAGTGAAACTGTATATATCCTGAGATTTTTTCGGCAAACGGACCTACTTTGATGGAGTTACAGCTTTCGCAAGGTATAGATCTCTAGAGACCCTCTACCAGTATTGGATTTTGAAATTTTTTTTTTCAGCAAAATTTTACAGTTGATGATTTGGCATTTGATAGAGTAAGCCGAGGTGTATATACCCTGAAATTTTTTCGGATGATTGCATGATAAATCCTAGAGAACACGCGAACTTTCCATAAAAGTGGATTTTCACTGAAAAAAAGTCGGTTTCTGAAACCTTGCCTGCGATTTCAGGATTTTAACCCATTGTAATTTTTATAATGTTATTATAGAAAGATGCGCCATAAAATTTTGCATATACTGAGCGGATTAGAATCTTCATTTTGGATGATTTTCGAGAAAAAAAAATTAATTTTCGAGCATGTCCTGAATTACAAAAAATGCAAAAAAATGCTTGAGGTCGTTAAAGGCACATTTTTTTAATTCAAATTAAATATATGGTTCTTTGTTATATACCATTCGATAGAGATTTAAATTAGCTACAAAACCATATATAAACTTACGAAAAAATATTATACCATAGTATACTTAAGTAAATGAATACTTCAGAAAATAACAGAAATCTGCTTCCAGTAGTTGTTGTTAATGGGTAATTCCGTGGGGTTCCCACCACGAAATACAGAAGTAATATCTCTGCTTGGTCTTCAAATAGTATCATTGGATACAGCTTTTTGTACTGATCATTTTGCCTACCAAAATGTCAATCACTCAATACTATATAAGGGAGAAATCAACGAACTAGTGATATACGCATATTTCGTTCATTTTTCGACTCCAAATATGGTCTTTTCCAGTATCTTAGACAGCAATCCTTTTAATGTCTTCTAAATCCAAATTTCAACTTTCAATTCATAATCAGCATGAGAAACTCCATCGAATAAGCTATTTTTTGCTGTCCATTCATCTTGCCTAAAGTCTCTTGGAACATCCATTTATTCCGTGTTTATGCTGCCAAAATATTAATTTATATTCAAAAAGAAGTTTTGTCCTAGTGTGGAGTTGGATTACCAACGAATGTGAACCTAATATTACTATTCTGAGAATCAACAATCATTGTCAATTAGTTTTTACTAGTTTATCTGCCACTTTATCAGAACTAATGTGATCATACGTAAGATGCCTCTGACGGATCGAAGAAACTTTTTGCTCCAATTTTACTAGAGATACTTCTAGTTCGATAGAGCTATGTGTCCTGATTACAAATACAGCATTTTTATAAATGATTAGTCGAATAATAAGAAACATCTAGAGCACTTTCCGGGACCCCGGAAAACCGGTTTTTGACCTGGAAGTCCATCAAATTTCAATCAGAATCTGACAAAAAGAGATTCATTTGACCCAGAATTTTATTCTCTATCTGAATATATAAAAACATCCCAACTAATAATATATATTTGAATCGATAAATGGCCAATACCACCCGAATTGGGGTATATTCTTAACGATGGGTGTGGGTGTGGAGTGGATGGGGTGGGTGGGTGTGGGTGGGGTGTAGGGTGTGGGGTGTGGGTATGGGTGTGGTGTGAGTGTGGGTGTGGGTGGGTGTGTGGGGTGAGTGTGGGTGTGGGAGGGTGTGGGTGCGGGTGTGTGGGTGTGGGTGCGGGTGTGGGTGTTGTTATCTTTATTGCCTCACACCCACACTCACACCCACACCCACCCACCCACACCCACACCCACACCCCACCCACACCCCACCCACACTCATAAGCGCTCGATTTAAATCAAATGTATTAAAATTGCTCAATTGTTTTCGTATATTTGATGTGTCGGAAGTAACTAATGAACCAGAATATGGTATACAAGAGATTAATACGATTAAACAACAATACCCTAATGATTTTAATGATGACTTACTGACCGAATGGAAAGTATTTCGTAAATATTTATTTGCACAACAACAAACATATACAAATTTAACACAACGACAACAGTGTATCAATTTAGTTAAAAAAGGAATGATAAGAGGCATATACCCACAATTATCATTAGCTGCTGAAATTTTTTTATGCGCACCAATTAGTACAGCAACCGTGGAGCGCGATTTTAGTACAATGAATCGAATATTAACTGGTTTACGAAATCGCTTAACAACAGAACATTTGGAACAATTAATGAGAATATCAATAGAAGGACCAGCTGATTTAGATAATGATATAAAAAATTTAATTATTGACTGTTGGAAAAGTAAAAAATTACGGAAAATTTCGGTTTAATATAGATTTATTGTTTTCCTCTCAATATTTTTCTTCTCAATGTGTTTTCTCCTCAATGTGTTTTCTTTTCAAAGTGTATTCTCATATTGTATTGCTAACAGAAGCAGTGTGATGGTATATATGAAAAAAATAAATAAGAATCTTGGTGTGCGTTTGCTGTATAACAAAAAATTTTTTGGTCAGCAGCCCCTCCAAAAGTTTCAACCGCCTACTCGAAAAATGAAACCTAGATGCATCTACTGGGCACTACTATAATCATACTTTTCAATAAAAACCACTTATTGATGGATGATAATAATAATTGGAGTTCGTTGAATATCGCCTTTAGATAAATGACAAACTAAATAAGGTACAAATGCCAAAATAAAATATGTGAAGTCATGGTATGTGAATAAGAAATTTATTATAAATTTTAGTACCATCAATAGAATGTTAGTATCATATATATCAGTTAGTCAAGAATATATGATTAAGGAGAAAAAATTTCAAATTAACTGGATCATCCTAGAAAATATAAAACAGTATTCATAAATAGATAATTCTATAAACATTGATTAAAAAATAAGATAGATAACTGATTGAAAAGCTCGATTTTTCTAAAATTCACATGCAGATATTCGTTCTAATATATCATGAATACATTCTCTTCTGCAATGATGATTAAAATAGTTATATGGGCATTCTTAAAATCTAACAGATAAATGATCGATAATGATACAGCTGGAAAATTTTAGACTAACGTTCGTATGATGGCGGCACATATATAAGACAAATATTATTTTTATGTAAAACAAATTATACATGAAGATTTAACATGACTATTTGCATAATATAATAATCATCAATATGTGATTCAAACAAATTTTGTCTATATTAAAATCAGGCACGGGTCTGATCGTGAGTGAAATTAAATACAAGTCTCGAAACACCCGTGTTCACACCACTCACACTGTTTTGAAAAAAGATTCAGTAATTTTTCGGAGAGTAAGTGCGCAAAACAATGAAATATTGTTTGAACATAAGTGGATGAAAGCAAAAACATTTCAGCTTGGGAATCTATTTTAATTATTGTGACTAGTAATAAGAGCTCCTGACATTGTTATTTACTTTCTTTCATTTCTTTTGTGTGTAGCATCAGTGTTTACTGTACAAATATAAGATTTATTCGACACCA